GGCCCCTGACTCGGGGAGGCGCGGCGAGGACCCGGGACGGGCCAGGGACCTTGGAAGAGCGGCCGTGGAAAGTGAACTTGGGCAGGAGGAAAATGATTGTTGGAGAAGGTGCGTGCGGGGGAGCCCTTGACTCTGTCCTACCGTCCAATGAGGGAAGGCGGAAAGGCTTTTTTTCTTTGGAGTTTGTTTATTCTTAATTGGCCGGCGGGGATCTCGCCTTGAAGCCGCATCCTGCCCGGCGGTCCGTCGAGCCGCTCGCAAAGCTCCGCCCGGTCAACCTGCCGGCAGCGCCGCACCCTGGGCCACCGGCGAGTGGAGAGGGAGCGGCTGACCGCGCTCCTCGCAGGACCTGGTTCCCGCGGTGTCGCCTCCTCGGCTTACAGGACTGGGAAGAAGAAACTGTTAGTGACGGCTTGGGTTCAAACCGAGATACCCCACGATTGTCTTAGTTTCTGTGCTTTTCAATGTTGGTGTCATGTTTTGTGGGTTTTAAGACAAAACTGAACTTGGATCTGGGATTAGTGTTTCCTTGTAGACTCTCGGTACATTTTTTGGTTGCCTTAACCTTCTGCAAGGGAATATTGAGCCGTGTGTATTTTAAGTAGGTAATATTATGAGATAACACTGGGCAGAGGTTTTTATTTTCCGGATCTTTTCTGATTCAAGATCTTTTTTGTTATTCCCTCAATATAATTTTTGGGTGACTGCTGGATTGGTAAATTGACGTCGAAAGAGTGTCTTGTTGGTTTTGAATCTTGTTAGCGTTTCTTGCAGTGTTCATTCTGTTTAAGTCCATTTTCTATTTTCGTGATTAAGGATTGACAGAGACGCAAAATATGACCTTAACCCCATAACTTTTTCAGTTGACCAGAGTTTTCAAGGATTAGTCTTTTTTAAAGTGAATATTATCTAAATTAACCCAAGTGAAAGTTAACAGTTTATCTGAGTTAACCAAAGTGATAGTGAACAGTTTTTGTTGAATCACTGATTTCTTTCTTAGAAAAAAGAATGTGGCCTATAAGGATTGAAAATAGGAATTTTGAAATAATGTTCTACGTTTTCATGATTTTTATAATCCTCAGCAACTGTCTTTTGTGTCTCAGGGCCTTCATTTTGTTAACTGGAAACTTGTCCACAGAAAATTATCTGTAGGTAATTTTGTATTCTTAAAGTTGTGATACAGAACGTTGGAAGAACATACACAATGATCCATATTTAACTGTAATCTGCTTTTGAACAAAAGATGGGTCTAGCCATGGAGTGTGAGAGGTCACACAGCTTTCATATAGAATTTTAGATCACTGGAAGATAACTTGGAGCATTAAATCATTTAATAAGGAAAGTAAGGCCCTCAAGAATGAAGTGGTTTGTCCATGGCTCCTTAATTATCCATGGAACTCTGTGGAGGAGGAAAGAGTAATATGTACTCATGATTATGTTAGCATTTAAAAGTTTTTAAAAATTGGTACTGTAGATCAGGAGTTTCTCTTTTAATTGTCTTATAAAAAGCAGGTTCAATTTTAAGAGAATCATATTTTTAGTAACTGTATGGTTCATACTTCTTTGGCTACATCTTAACACCAAAGTATTAAAGTATAAACGTATTGACAGTAGAATTACCAGCAATGAATACTTCTTTAAAAAAACAAACAAACCCAAAACTACAATTATTAGCCTTTTGGTGGATTTACCATTCTTTGATGACTTGACTTTTCTTGCCACAGGCTTTAGATTAGGATGTAATTTACTTTTGAAAATGAATCAACTTGATGGAGACTTGTATCAAGATCTCTAGTGGAATAATCAAAGCATATAGTTAATTGGCAGTATACCTCAGTGGATCCACCTATGGGCAACATCAGATAATTGCTTGAAAGTTCATGGATAATTAAGTGAAATAAAAACAAAAACACTTTAAGACAAACTATACTAAAACTGGAATAATATGCCTTAACAGTTAAACAATGCAGAAAAATGACATAGTTTCTATACTGCCCTTATTCCAAAAGGTGATTTTAATTTGTGCAATAGAGTAATTCCCACTTTTGTAGCAGTGCAACTTGTTTTGGAAACATGAAGTCAATGTATTTCACTTGCATGAGTAGGATATTTTAATTAACAAAGACCATATTTTTAGTTGTGTGCCTAGCATAATATGATTGCTTTAAGATCACCGTGTATGTTGTATCTTTAAGAATCTTCAGTTAATTTCAATTTTTTTCTTCATATTTATCATGTATACAGTTATTTCTGAAGGATAAGGAACTGCATGGTTCTATTTCAATAACTGTCATAAAATATCATATTTATAGTACACAAGAAGATGAAAACTTGACCAGCATCAAATATGATTTCACATAGAAAGATCTCAAGACTATTACTTTTATAACCTAGAAAAGATGTATTCTTTTGCCTTTATATATTTCATTCATATAAATTCTTAGGTCTGACATTTGAATTTGAATTGTAAACTCTTTAAATGCCACAATTTAAATAGCTATGTTTTCCCCAGCCTCTTCTGAAACAATCTCCCTGGAGCAACCATCAGAGCAGTGGCTGGGGCACTGGAAGTATGTCCTGGGGAGCAATGCATGGCAGAGATCATCGTAGAACCGGAAACATGGGAATCCCAGGAACTATGAATCAGATATCTCCATTGAAGAAACCGTTTTCTGGTAATGTCATAGCACCACCGAAATTTACTCGCTCAACTCCATCACTGACTCCAAAATCTTGGATTGAAGATAATGTGTTCAGAACAGACAACAATAGTAATACACTCTTACCCTTACAGGTAAGAATGGTATGTAAATGACCTTATCTCTAATGTTAATCTTTCAAAATAGGGAATTGGGTGGTGGTGGTAGTGGTATGGTAAAATTAACATTTTTTCAAATAAAGTTTTAATTTTTAAGCCTATAATTTAATTAACAAAGGTTAAAATATCTATACAGAGAAAATTGAGAATGTAAAAAAATTCTCTAAACACGCAATGGAAAATAAGCTTAGTAAAACATAGAAAAACCCGTTGTATTGATTAAATACATACTGAAGCTTTCAATTGGCAACTCTTTAAGAATGTTTTCATTTATAAACTCTAATGGGCCACCAAAATTTGTTTCTCCTATAATATAGCTAAGCTAAAATGTTCTGTAATTTTAACTATTCTTAGATTTGACTACGATCGGCTGTATATATATTAGAATGTACTTAGTACAGCTGTGATTGTGGCAAAATAATATTAGGGCTTTTTTGCATCTAATTTAAATTTATCTTCACTAATTCACTGATTATTTTTTCTAAATGTGGCCTAATATGTTGATTAGACTTTTTTTTTTCCCCCAGGCTTTTTATTATTTTGTTGAAGTTCCTTTATGGCTATTGCAAGTGAGGTTTTTGTTTTGTTTTGTTTTTTCTTAAACCTTTAAAGGATGGAATGAGGATTTAAGATAGAGGTTTATTTTTGGTTTTCTTTCTTTCTTTCATTGGGTGGGTATGGGGAAGACAACTGCTGATTTCTGATGAAAACTTCTATGCTATTGAAGGTGAGATCTAGTTTGCAGTTGCCAGCTTGGGGCTCAGATTCACTCCAAGATAGTTGGTGCACTGCAGCCGGAACATCCAGAATAGACCAGGTAGGCTGCACAGTGTATACTTTTTAGGATTTCGGTTAGGAGTTTAGTATTTATGTTATGAGTAGGATTTAGTATTTACTTTCTTATTATACCTATTGAAACATATGTTAGAGGACACTGAAGCAATTTATTTTTTAAGGATCACCTGCTTTGAACTATTTAATGTAAGAATTTTTTTATTTTCAAATTTAAGAGTAATTAATCCTTTTATATTTCTAAAACATAATAAATATTTTTGGAAAAAGGGATTATATACACAAGAGCACCTGACTTTAAACATCAGTCAAACTAAACAGATTGTATCTCTTTTCAGAATTATATGCAATTAGGTACAAAACCATATGTTTACTTAACATGCAGCTTTGTATTTAATGTTTCATAGAACTTTTCAGTAAATTTTTGTCATGAAGTCTATTTGTTTTGAGATATATTTCTAAAAAAGACTTCTCTTGGTTTCGTTTTTTCACCTTTATTAAACAATTTATAGCCTAGTATTCTAAATTTTGTTACTGCTTTTGTACCCTGACTTATTCCAAATAATCAGTTTTCTATGGAGAAACCATTAGTGAAAAAGCTGGGAGTTAGCCTTAATCAAATTACATTCACACCTTTTTACAAAATACTATCTTTCTTCTTGCAAACTGAATTTGAATGTATACTAGGTGTACCAGGTGGTGAGGATTATTACAGGATATAGAAAACTCAGTCCTTATATATGCAGGTTCTTTCTTAGAGAGCTCCAGTTTGAATGAGCATAGACTTAACGTCGTGTGTGTTTTATGAATGGAGCTGTGTTATTCTAAGTCTCTTCCTTGGTTAATTTATTAACATGATATGATTTTACAAGTAAGGACATAAACAGATTAGTAATATATTTGTAAGTAACTTTCTAATCTAGAAAGTTAGCACCAATTTTGATAATCAACCACTAACAATTGTTTTAGCCAAGTCCTGCCTGTTTTCCAAAGTAGTTCTGCCAGGGTCTTCACTTAGAAGTAGTAGTTACTTCATGTAATTTGCAAGGTATTGTCTTGTTAATATAAGTTAGCTATTTACGTCTACTCTCTTCTCTACTCTGGTCCAGTTAAACCTTATTAGTGACATTTTTATGGTAGCATTTTTGTATTTAAATTCAACACATGAATGCCTAGGAGATGGTATGTTTAGGAGAAGAAAATTAATGTAATTATTTTGAAGGTGGCAAGAGAAATGTTTTCAGATAGAAGAGGACATAATTACTCTGTTTGTGCAGGAAGAAGCAATAGGATGGATACATATATAGGAGAAATAAGTATCCATGGAAAAGAATACAAATTAGCTGGCATTACAGGGTCCATGAGGCAGGGACAGATGTCGAGAAATCAGGTTATTGAGTTGATTTCAATTGGTGGAATGTTAGAAAGGAGACAGGGGTGATAATGAAAGGGAAGCTTTCAAATCAGCCTCTGGGGCTGCCCTCCCACTTAGACCTCAATCAAAGCTACTCTGCTTTTACCTGTTTTATAACCTAAGATTTTAGGGAGATTTATTTTAGGAAAAATGATTTTGGTGCTTAAAGATAAACTTATCTGGTAAACTGCCGAGATACTGGCATTCCCTTTAGATACTTGAGCCAGAGGTGTGATGTGATGAAGTAGAAGACAGTGGTGGAGGAAAAAAAGAGATAATGGAAAGTGAATGGAACTGGAAGGAAAGAAGGCCTGTAACTTGGATCTTCTTCCTCTTCCTCATAATCTTTATGACATTGAATGACATAGTTTATGGGCTTTAATCTCTCTGGGTCACAGTTTCCTTATCTGTAAAAGGGGGACCTTGAACTAGGTCATTTAAGGCCTTTCCAGCCAGCTTTTACACTTTCTCTGATCTGTTTTGGCCATTTCTTTTCCTCCCTGGTGCCCCACCCCCTTGCCTCTATTTTTAGAATACAAGCCTCTTGGTTTCTTTGAGCAAAGGGTCTAAGGCATTAGTCTAAGGAAGTGGAGGTAGTATATGACCTTTCAACTGGACTTAAAAGAAATGTCATTGTCTCCTCTATATACCCTAAAAGTGCTTATACATAATTTGTTATGTGTTTCCATCTTTCCATGAAAGGTTGAGGTATTCGAAGTTGAGCCTCTTAAAAATACTGCAGCAGCTACAAAATGAAATTGATATCTTAAAATGTTGGGTAGTTTCTCATTCTTTGGCAAAATTAAAATTATAGAAGATACTTAGTCACTTAAATATCTGAGGAGATTATTTGCATTTCTGACCTTTTGTCATCACATACAATGTAATTCGAGTATATTTTTGTTAACAAGTACATTATTTTAAAACATTTTACTTTTTATTTCCTTTAGGCTCAAACTCATTAGGGCCTAGAATATAATACAAAATTCTAGAACTGAAGTCTTAATTCTTGTACTTGGATACTGCAGGCTTACCTATATCAAGAGGTGAACACATAATTGAATTCAATAAATAAGAAAGAACTAGTTTTGTAGGTTGATTTTTATTTCTGTTAATATGTAAAATTTTGTGGGTTGGAATTTTATTTTAAATAAGAATTTTTTAAAATAGAAAACCCTCACATTTAAAACTTTTTAAAAGCAAATATAAATTATAAACATTTCTGACTTTAAAATGAGTATTATATATCTCTATGAATTTTTTTTTTTTTTTTTTTTGAGTCAGTTTCACTCTGTCACTCAGGCTGAAGTGCAGTGGCATGATCTCGGCTCACTGCACTCCCAGGTTCAAGCGATTCTCGTGCCTCAGCCTCCCCAGTAGCTGTGATTACAGGCAGGCACCTCCATGCCTGTCTAATTTTTATATTATTGGTAGAGACAGGGTTTCACCATGTTGGCCAGGCTGGTCTCAGACTCCTGACCTCACGTAATCTGCCCGCCTCGGCCTCCAAAGTGTTGGGATTTCAGGCTTGAGCCACCACGCCCAGCCAGTGTATATGCATGAATATCCTTAGGGCTATTAATTACTTTACTTTAAAATGTCATTAGCTAGTTACCCTTGCAAGAAGCATACTTAAAAATTTGAATTCTAAATTATATTACAATGGAATTTGCAACCAGATCCAGCAACGTGCACTACTTGGAAGGCTGAGGCAGGAGGATTGATTGCCTGAGCCCTGGAGTTGAGTCCAGCCTGGGCAACATAACAAGACACCACCCCCTCTTCCCAGAAAAATAGGAGTTTTCAGTTTAATGTTAAGGTTACGCTATATTTATTCATATGTTTTAAATCAAAGAGTAAATATCCTTTAACTGAGGTTGTTATTACTTATAAGTTTACATATGACATATCAGCTCACTGTAAACAAAGTAATGTCTTGCAACAGTAATCGAGTGTGTGAAGCATATACATGCATGTCACCCTGGCTTCCACCTGGGGAGTGGTCAATATAGCAACTCTAAATTTTTGGTCTTCCACACGTTCTACTTGCAGTGCTTGAGCATGTCACATAATAAACTACCTTGAACTAATTGAAGATACTTTCCACTAATCTTTAATAGGCTGTTATGATAATGTAGTAAATCATAATTTGGAGATCTGTCTCAGAAAAAAATATTATTTGAGTCTTTACTCACACACACACACACAAAAACAGTATGTAGTTGCATACCAAGCCCAATTTGTTTATCTAATAAAGCATTTCTTAAATAGTGGTTTGTAAACCAGATGAACTTCAGGGACATTCATAGTCATCAAACTGTTACATGCCCACTGAAAATGAAAAAGAATGGACTCTTGTATTACAGCTTAAGTAATGGATGCCTTCTTTTTGTTTCCTATTCTGTGTTCAGTGCTTTAATTGTTCTTGAAATGTTTTCCACTTGTCCTTCTATTTTAATTCTTGTGAGTACTAGAATAGCTTTGGCCTTTTAAAACATTTGATTTTTTTTTTTTTCCTGAGAATGATGAACACACTTCGTTGAGGTTCAAAATTAATAAAGAAAATTCAAGAAATGTATCTTCATTCATTCTGTATGTTAGTGTTTTAATTACCCTCAGGATATATGGATAAAAAATACTATTCTTTGTCTTGGAGAAGGTAAGAGTCTAGTTGGATGAATAAGGATTATCTAAGTGGAACAACTAGAGAATGAGAAGAGAGCTTATGAGATTGAGTACTACGTTATGCAGTAGAGTAGCACGTCATCTGCTACTAATTGAGTATGGTGCAATAACATTGTGTAACAGGAATGTATGGTCAATATCTACTTAAAATTAAGGACAATATTAGCACTACATTGCTTTATTTTAAAGTAAAAATTAGAGAAGTAAACACAAATATTATAAGTACAATAAAAGCTGATCTTTCTAATTAAGCAGAATAATACATTTTCAAGCATCTGCTAAATCATTAAATATAAGAATGTAGGGTTTTTCTATAATCTTATTTTTCTTTGGAAGAGTACCTCATTTTCAGGAGGAAAAGTTTCTAATTGACCACTTATTTTAAAATAAAACAGGGTTTTTAATATATCCCAGCAAAAAAATTAATATCTCTTCAAATTGTAATTAAGTTTGAATTCCCTTTGTCATACTGCTTCTAATATTGTGCACCGACCTCCTTAGTTATTTTTCAGTGTTTATAATCTTTGCTTAGGTCATCTTTTTTCAAGATTAGGATCACTTTGTTCTTTTGTGTGTTTTTCAGCCTTTCTAAGCTTTTATTGACACTCCCGTAAGTGTTTGTGGCAAATGTCTGGGTTTAAGAAAAACCATGAAATAAGTATTATAATAAAAGAGGTTATACCTTTTCCAACAGTGTTTTCTAATCATTTTATTCTGTTAATTATTATAAGATTCTGTAATTTTGTTTCTGAAAGCCCATTTAGTTGATTCTTTGCCAGATAGTTTTTATATTTCAGAATTGATTGCATGCACACTTTTCCTCATAGATTCTTATTTTTGTGAATATCTTGGTGTTTTCAAATAGCCTTGTAATAAATGTAAATTACATTGCTCTGATTTTCCATATTTATTAATGATAATTAGTATTGTTGTGTTCATGGTCACTTGAAAATTGCCTTAGTTCCTCAGTTTAGTTTTTAAACTGATGGCAGTTTGCATGAACACAACTTTTCCTAATGTCTTTATTTCAGAAGAATGCATGAGTGTTTGTTTTATAACCAGATTTGTTTCTGTTTTTTCAGAAGTCATATTTTAATTCCCACAATTTATTTAATGGAATTATCTATATCTTTTGCATGTAAGCGTATAGGTTTCATTAAACTCAAAAAGCAATTTTGAGATGTCATGTGCTCTTTGGTTGCTCACGGCTGCTTTATGTTTGTTGCTTTAAAATCACATGGGATGCAGCTGATGCTTTACTAAAGTATAACCAAGCTAATCTTTTTAAAATAGCTTTGCTGTTTTCTTTCCTAGAATAGGAGTTTAGGATCAAATACTTAACAGAAAAAGGAAAATAAGAGACCTTGTAAGTAGGCGTCTCACTGATTGAGTTAGATATAGACACTCAAGCGGAAGTTATTAATAGATGCAGCCTTTTTGAGTAACACCTCTCAAAAGTAATTATATAGTGGTCACTGATATTTATAGTTAAAGGATGTTTCTCTTTCATACTTTAAATATTGTCCATGACCCAGGCAATAATTTTACCATGCTCTAGAGCAAGATCACACCTCTTGCAATGAAGGTAGAGTGTACTTTCCCCTACACCTCCAGAAAAAGGAAGTTACTTGGGAAATATTGTTTGGGTGATTTATTAGTTACCATTAATTAAGGTCATCAGTTGACTGGGCATAGGTTGATTCTGTTCAAAGTCATCAACCTAAAAAGATAACTATGAACTGTAATATATTTCCTTTGTGAGGATTTAGCGTAAGGAGGATAATAAAGTATTTTAAAGTATTTACAGTGTATTCTTAGAACCGTCATGATATAGCATACCTGCAGAGGGATTTTTTGCTTAATTATATGAACATTAGCTTTTGTCATTACAGCTTACATTTTATAATTCTATTTTAAATACATCTGGGAACTTTCAGTATAATAGTACTTAATCTTCCATTGGGTTGTTGGAAATTCAGATTCATAGCAAGCCACATTAATCTGATGCTTGTGTCAGTTTAGTCAGTTAACATTTGACTACCTATTCCATTGAGGATTCTGAGAAAGTTTTATAGTCCTTTGCAATTACTGTTTAAGAAGTACAGTCTTTCTCCTCACAGAACTCGACTTTTTTTTTACATTTTTTACTGAGTTTTTATGGTAAAGATAAAGGAGTATTCATTCAGCAGACATATGAGAACTAACTATATTCTGTAATTAGTCCCTATTCTTAATCAGCTTAGAAGTTTAGTGGAAGAGACAGGAAAATCAACAAATTGGTTATGAACACAGTATTGTGGAAGCACAGGGAACATGGACATATTTGGATAGATTCCTAAAATTAATATGTCATTTTTGCCCATATGGGCCATCCTATTCTCTGTTTTGATTTTATTAATATTTCATTAATTTTGGAGTATTTTCAGTCTTTTCTGTAATTTTTAAAGAGACTATAGGCATAATCTTGTCTGACATGATTATTTTCTAGGTTAGAACCAGAGCCTAGAGAGATTTAGTGACTTCAGACGAAGAAACTAATTGCTTCTTATGAAGTGTGATATCCAGGCCCGCAGAATGAGTATCACCTGGGAACTTGTTAGAAATACATATTCTCAGGTTCTACTCCAGACCTACTGAATTTGATGTGTTTCAGCAGTCTGTGTGTTTAACCAGCCTTCCAGATGATTCTGAAACATGCTCAAGTTTAGGAACAACTGTTACAGCTCATTGATTCTTTGTGCCTCCATCACTAATCAAGGTCACTGTTCTAGAGAGCAGCTGTTATTGATGCATGTGTTTTACCTCAGGGGCCTTTCAGTACAAATCAGTAAACAGTACTGATAGAGTTAATTTGTGATAAAGCTGGAATAAGAGCCTCCAGTTTAGCATTCCTTCCGTCATTCAGTGTTACTTTTTACCTTTTTTAAATCCCTGATAGCAACTTATTTAGTCTACAGTGCGGATTCTGAACCCCTAGATTTAAAAAGGCTACAACCTCAATTTAAACATCAAAGTAAAGTAAATAAATAGACATATTCTTAGAAAAGCTACTTAGGTTTTTCTTCAGCTTTCTAAAGAACTGATTCTGAATCTTCTCTGGATTGTGGACTCCCGTGGAAAACTGAGGAAAGCTATAAACCTTTTCTTCAGGAAAAAAAAAATTTATGTATACACCAGTCCCCACTTATCCATGAGGGATACGTTCCAAGACAATCAGTGGATGCCTGAAACTGCAAATAGTGCCTTCATATATGGTTTTTTCACAGTGAAAACGTATGTATGATAAAGTTTAATTCATAAATTAGGCACAGTAAGTGACAACAATAATTAATAATAAAGTAGGACAATTATAACAATGTAATGTAATAAAAGTTATGTAAAAGTGGCATTTCTCTCTCTCTCAGAATATCTTATTGTATTGTCCTACAGATAACTGAAATCGTGGAAGGCAAAAGGCAGAAAGGGGGGACTACTGTACACCCATGAACAGTCTATTATATATAATCTCAGAGACTTCTGGTCTCTATTGAAGCTCATGGACCCAGGTTCTTAAGTGCCTTATTTTGACTTCTATGGGGACTTTTATTTCCACTTAATTTTCAGATTCTTCCTTTCCATTTTCTGTGACAATCTTTTTTTTAGAGTTTAGAATGGACTATCCTGCCTCCCCAATGTATATGTAAGCTTGCACATGCGTGTACACACATACTTAACTGGTTGGGTGAGTATTTTGGGAAGACTCCTAGATGATGGCATCGCCCAGAAAGCTTCTGTAGTGGTTCCCCACGTACCTTTTTTCAGATGCTTTGAGTATGTATTGAACAGAATACAGTGGAAATTCATGGACATTAAAGAGTCAGATTCTTTCAAATAAGCAAGTGAAGGGATTGAACATTCAGCAAACAAGGTTCTGATAACACAAGACTTTGGAGACTTGGTGAAGTAGCAGACTTAATGAGATTACTGCTTTTACTCTTCTCTCTTCCACGTGCCTATTTTGCAGGGGAGTTGGGGGAGGCAGGCTTAAAAATGCAGAGACAAATAAGGAAGCACTTTAGAGAGTAAGATATGAATCTGAATATTCTAGGCATTAGTCCTTGTTCTGGTGTTAGTATCTTATGCTTTTGATTTTTGCCATATAAGATGTTTATGCACTCATTATGAAATTCAGACTACTATGTCAAATAACAAAGTGTTTGATAGATGTTTAAAGTATGGTGCAATTATGGAACTAAAATATTTCCTCCCAAATATTTATTTTCCTCGTGCCAGTATCTGTCTTCCTAAATACTTGAGAAAAGTTTAGAAATTAACCAAAAAATACTTTCTGTGTATATAAGATTTCAGGAAACTTTATAGAGAAAGGTAACCATAGAAATTATTTTACTGTTTTGCATTAGTATTGCCAATAAAATTAGATTGCTTTTGATAAAAGATTTAAGAGATAAATGTACTGAAAATAATGTCCTCCAATACAAGGAACATTGTAGCTCATGAGATCTGTAGTTACTGGTATTTTTGTGGGATACAGATTAATTGGTAATATATTAATCAGATGTCCTCTTTTATGTAAGAGAATTTAGATAGTATTTTTATAATCACGTTTTGAAAATGCATAGATTATAATGTCTTTTTTCCTCTTCTCTTCCAGGATCGAAGTAGAATGTATGACAGTTTGAATATGCACTCTTTGGAAAATTCCCTTATCGATATTATGAGAGCAGAGCATGATCCTCTTAAGGGTAGGTGACTTTTTTAAAAAATATGTTTATGTTATATACCAATTTGCTTATCTAACTAGTTTTTATATGAAAGTGAACCCTAAGTAGCACCTATATCCACTATAAAATTCTATTATACATTTATTAATGATAATCTTTTTTTTATGAAATGCCATACTTTTTCCTTTGTTGCTTAATGTGAACTCACCTACCTTGACTTACAATTTAAGGAAAATTTACTATTTAGAGACATGCTTCAGTTCACCAGAGAATGAAGAATGGATCTAAAAGTATACATTAGTCACTTTTCTAGAATTCTTTCAAGTACGAAAATACTAAAAATATTTCTTGGAATACTTGTATTCACAATTTGCGGTGATTCCAGCCTAGAATTTTCCCTAGTTAACCTCCTTTCTCTATTTTTCTTCTACTGTCACAGGGTTTTGAAAAGGGGAGAATATTTTATAGTGGCTTCTCCAAGGTGAAAAGTAGCTCTTCATAGAAATTGACACAAATTAGGGAAAAGAACCAGCCCACTTATCCTATAGTAGCAGTCTTCACTAATTGTTTATAGTATTTGAAGAAGTTTCATTAGCATACTTGTTTTTGTCTGTACATATTCTGTATATAAAATGAAAATTATTATGTATTATGTATTTTTATACAGTATATCTCATTGTCATTTATGTCAATGGTGAAAATCTACCAAATTGTCAATTTGAGTCATGACAGATATCTTGCTACATAATAAATTATCTCAAAACTTAGCAGCTTAAAATAGCAATAAATATTTATTACTTTACACGGTTTCTGTGAGTCAGAAATTCAGGAGCAGCTTAACTATTTTATTCTGGCTCAAAATCTCTCATTGAATCAAAATCATGGATTACTTTGTAAACTTTCTCCATTTTTAATTCTATAAAGCCAAGTTAGAATTCTCTTTCGAGATTTGGCCTAAAAACTCTATAAACTTCCATATTGACGGGGAGGTGGTGATGTGGGGCTAAGTTGATAATACTGACCACATATCTAATTATTTTGTTCTGTTTATGGATTTTACTTGTCAAAAGAATTCCTTGTCTTTTCAATTCCTTAATTTTAAGGAGCTTGAGAAGCTGTGGGGATATTAGTGATTGTTGATTATGTGTGCTAATAGTAATTCCTCATACAAACTTACAGTAAAGTTATATGTCAAGTTTTTGGGTTTCGGTTTTTGTTTTTTTTTTTTTCTAACCAAAATTCAGCTTAGATTTTTTAGTATCTTTGTATAGGGTCTTGTTCTTTTTCACTGTTATGCTGGCAGTTTCAGTGGTTTGTCTTAGATCCACCATTTAGAATAGAAGCCAGCAGTTTATGATTAAGAAGTTTCCTGTTTATCTCCTTGGCTTCTCAAGAAAGAAAACTCTTAGAAATTCTAATACAAGATAAAGTCAAGATTATTAACTGTTACCAGTGGATAATAAAAGTTTTTCGTTGTTTCTCCCAGTCTTTTTTTTTTTTTTCAAAAGGCTTTTTAAACATATTAGATAAAATGTTCACTGTGGCACTGTTAATTATCTCTGTTTTTCTTTTTACTAGCCTGGATTATAGTAAAAGTGAAGGGAAACCTAAAAAGAGGACATTGGAAAGGAAATGGAAGCATTGTGAGGTTAAGGGGAATTATATATACATATACACACACACACACTCATGTATATAGATATATATGTTTTTTAATCTCAAGAGAATTCAGAATTTTTAAGTTAGAAAAATTATCTTTGGCTGTGAGAACGGGAAAAACATGCTCACTAACCACCTTTAGGCATCATCATGGTGACAAGTCTGTTCATATTTACACAAAACGTGGAATATTTTGTCTTCCACATGTTTTATGACAGGGAATTTTTAAAAAGAGAAAAAAGAAAAAATTGAGAAACTTTCTCTGCATAAAATCAAAAAAAAGGACTGATATTTGTACAAAGCTCCATCATATCCCTATTTAAAATTATCTTGGTACTAGGTTCTGCCACTTTAAGTCTTTTTTTTTTTTTTTCCCTTTCTTTCCTTCCTTACACAGATTCCACTGCCTCCTGGGATATTATGTTGTATATTTTCTTTCTTCCCATACTCTGATTATCGTAATTTTTTGGGGGGGCTAGACCTCAGTAGAATCTTCTAAATCAAGGTGGTAGCAAATGGAATAAACCATCCAGGGTTTAACACCTGAATTTGTTTTCCTTCTTTCCATTACTGTTCTTGAGGGCGGTATTTCACCCTCTGTCTCATCTCTTGTCTCTTACCTTTTCATGCCTTCTAGGAAATCCTGTCCTCTGTTTAATTAAAAAAAATTATTTTCCCCTAGAAAACAAAATGAATATTATTTTATCCTTTCTAAATGCTGTTTTACAAACCAGCCATTGGTTTTTTTTTTGTTACGGGATCTGATGAAAAAGGAGAAGAGAGTTGGAGAGTAAATGTTTAAAATGAATTGTTTCTCTTTATATTAATGGTGAAAATACCTAGGAAAATGAACTTGAGTGAGGAGAGATATTAGTTATCTCTGTATAATTATCCCAAATTTAGCAGATCAAAACAACAGTAAACATCATCCCACACAATTTCTGTGGGTTTGAATTTGGGAGCAGTTCATTCAGCTGGTTACTTCTGGCTGAGGATATCTCATGAAGTAGCAGTCAGCATACTGGCTGAGGCTGCAGTCATCTGAAGGCTTAACTGGAACTGGAGGATCTTTTTCTAAGATGGTACACTCGCATGGCTGGCTGTTGGCAGAAGAACTCCGTTTGTTGCCTCATGGACCTCTCAACAGGGCTGTAAAATTTTTCTTATAACGTGGTTGCTTATATCCCCCAAAGTGAGTGATAAAAGCTCAAAATGAATGCCCCCACGTCTTCTATGTCCTAGCCTTAGAAGTCTCATACCATCATTTCCACAACATTCTGTTAACTACATAGATCAGCTCTGCTCAATTCAGGCCGGGTCTGCTATTCAAGAGATGTGAATACTAGAGGCTGGCTACCACAGAGGTAAAAGGCAGAGTGGTAAATTTGTATTCAATTCTACCCTCAGTTAAAGGAAAAGAAAAATTAGTCAAGGTGAGACTGTCAATTGGAAGAAAGGAGTCAAGCAGATCTCTAGAATGCTAAGTGGCAGGTTCCTGACCTAACTGAGAACTGGGTGATTGTGCTAACAGAAGCACCCTCCCTCTCATCCCTGTTTATGCCCAGAACACTTCACGGCAGCTTATTTGCATTTTCCTACTCTCCAGTGTTTTTTCAGGACAGTAGGGAACCTCCATTGTTTAATGTTGATATTTTCGTGGTCTGGCATAGCAGGTGGGAAGGGTCTAGTCTTGTTGGAGTTGTCCAGATATGAAATGATGGCAACCCAAGATGGAACGTTGAATGCACCTTACTCCTTTAAGTGTGTCTGCTTTTGCACAAGTTTCCTAGACACTGACTGCACATTTTCTGAGACAGACAGTGTCTGCCCTCATTGTGTAAATATGAAGAGACCTGTCACCATGATGATTCCTAAAGATGGTTAGTGAGCATGTTTTTCCCCTTCTCACAGCCAAAGATAATTTTTCTAACTTAAAAATTTTGAATTCACTTGAGATTAAAAAACATATATATCTATATATATGCATGTGTTTATGTGTTGTGTATACATATATATAATTGTATATATATATTTTTATATTTAAAATGTAATTTTATATATATGTATAAAAAATTCCCCTTAGCCTACTGGGGAAAGAGAGATACCTTATACAAATACAATATACATATATCTACTGCGTGTTAGAAATACTGTGGAGGAAGATTATGAGGTGTTTAGAGAGATTATAAATGAAAGTACCCAATTTAGATGTGGAGTAAAGGAAGCTGAGACCTGAAGCATGAGCAGCACAATGATGAAAAAATATTGGGAGAAAGTGTCAATTAGACAGAGGAACCACCATGTGCAAAAGCATGGAAGAGATTGTCACGTTTGAGGAACTGAAAGGAGGCTAGTCCTGGCATAGCTTGTTTAGGGCTGCCTGACGCCGACTGGGTGTAACAGGGCACAGTTAACACTGTCGAGAGTGTGCTGTATTTTGCTATGGATCATGAACAGTGACACACTGTTAAATGCTTTCTTCAGTAAGAATGGCACTGACCCGTCTGCTTTATTTATTGTGTGGTAGTTTCTCTCCATTAACATCCTATTTTCTGATACTGTCTTGATTCTTGGCAAATAACTTTTCAAAGGAAGAACAATCATGGATTCTTTAAATGGTTAAAGTAAATCATGCTTTGCCAAGTACTGTTTTGTAGTTTTTCAGTTTTAGATTTGCATACCTATTTTAAGTAATTTGTGATTTTTTAATATATGTGTATATATGTTCATTCCCCCTTTAAACAAAAGAACAAGACAGTGATTATTGTTAAGCTCTTTTCCTTCCCTGCCCCCAACAATTTGTAAAAAGACTTACTGTGTATTTTTTGCCAGAAATTGCTTGTATCGTTCCCCAAAGTATAGGGACAAACAAAAGTACTTAATTGTAGCTCATAAAAGTTGATTTGAAAACTCTAGGAAGAAATGTAGTTTATGTAATGGTTTGGGGAAGATATGTGTCAGTAAGTTGTAATGCCTTTACCAATGTTTCATGAGCAGTTAAAGGGAATTAAGGAAAAAGAATTTAGAATGTGATTTTACATCAACGAATGTCTAGAAGTGGATGCCTTTAAAACTTCTTATTTACTACGTTTTTGTGTGTCTAGTGTCATTTTTATTACCTGATTGCTAACCTCCTTTTTTTTTTTTTTTTTTTTTTTGGAGACGGAGTCTCGCTCTGTAGCCCAGGCTGGAGTGCAGTGGCCGGATCTCAGCTCACTGCAAGCTCCGCCTCCCGGGTTTACGCCATTCTCCGGCCTCAGCCTCCCGAGTAGCTGGGACTACAGGCGCCCGCCACCTCGCCCGGCTAGTTTTTTTGCATTTTTTAGTAGAGACGGGGTTTCACCGTGTTAGCCAGGATGGTC